CTGATTTTAAACAACATGCACAAACAACTAACATAAATTGCCATAATAATAAATAACAAAATAAAAGTGTTACAACCACAGACCTCATACTTATTTCTTGACCTAAACTCCTGATCATGCTTTTATTAAAAGGGGTCAAGTCAGAATACGTTGTATTCGTGTAGCTGTAGCTATCTAGCAACTATCTATACTTAGGAGACCTTAAAAGGAAATATGATAAAGTTGAATATTTGATAATTATTGTATCATATGAACATGAATGGTACTGTCTGATTGATTAATGTATTATTCTTGTTTGTGTTGCTTGATATTATTGTGAATTCATGTTTGGTAATGAAAAGAGAGGCTCATCCTTACAAAACCTTTCAAGGAACAAAGATGACAGATCTCCAAAGATTTGTTAGGCTGTCAAAGCTGCTTATTAGTAGTAGACTAGACCATGTATGTAGGGAATGACAACGGTTATGCCATTGTAGCTTTATTGTAAATAGTAATGATGGCTCAAGTATTATATTTACCTTAGAAATGACGATAGGATATGGTGTACCTTTTGATTACCCTAGCAGTGGTAGAATCCACCATACATTGTGCTTATATATAGACAGAGGTTTGGTCAGACCGCCAAATGCGTGGAATTATGTTTATACCTTTCTAGGTCATGATCAATATGGAAGACCAAGCCACTTTACTGTAGAACGGATCACAGTACTGAAGTGGTAGCTGATGCGGATGATCTCGGTGAAGACAAAGACTTATCCCCTGAGGATTTAGCAGAAATAAAGGGATGGTTTGGGAAAGATGACTAAGATCGTCTTCAATCTTTTGGGTGCATATACTGCTCATTAAAACTTATTGTATTTTGTATTTTGTAAATGGTATCGATGAGTCCTAATGCATTTTGAAATGATATTTTATAAATATTCAACTCTTATATATTAATGAGACTAGTATATATTTATGTTATTTTAGTTCTTTACTAAAATTCATTTACTTCCCATTGCTTTATTACTGGAAATTTTACAAGTTGAGTAATTTAAATGAAAGTTTTACATTTTTGGCACCTTGCATTATGAATACAAGCGAACTTTAATTTAACTTTCTCTTTTCTATGCAAAATTATTTTCTTAACTTTATAAATTAATAAGGATGTTACATCTAATATCAACTTAATTGTTATATTTATTCCAGTATCTTGCAGTAATCTTGAAATTTAACCATACTGATTATTTCACATATTTAATACTTTCTCTAATTTCAAGTAGTACTTTGTTAGCTATTTTAGACTCTCCTAGACAACCAAATTGCACATGAAAAAAAGATTTATCATAAGACAACAAATTAATTTGCAAGTGAAGATAATTTTTGAAATATCTTGTATATTATCATAGGTAAAAATATTATATGAGATAATAGGAAAAAAAAATTATTGTAACATTTTAAATTTAATTTCAAATAACAAATTTCACAAAATGGGAGAAATAAAATTTCATTCAAAATGGTTTTCCATGCATAATTCATTAAAATATTTCAAAATAAAGATGGATTTCAACTTGCATCAAATCATTGTTATAGGACTAATTCAATTACATCAGAGTTCAAATAAATTTCTAGTCCTATAACAGTTTCATCTATCCTTCACTGAGCCTGATGCTGATCGTCTTAGTCACCTAAAAAATAAACGTAAGAAGGAGTACTCTACTCTATCCAACACACATACAAACATAGAGACTCTTATTGCACATGCACATGTATTCTAACATATTCTACTCAAGTATCACAAACAACACTCATCATACATTCCATTTCAAATTACAACCGATATGTTCACTGCACCAACAACATTTCACACACGTGCGCTCACTGCACGTAGCCACACTCAATGTGGCACTGTATTCACAGTTTCACACCATGGATGGTCATCGGTTACCCCTACCTCACAGATACAACATGTGCAGTCACAAGTTGCTCGGTAAAAGTGTTGGTCAAAGGTCTAGTCAGGAGGAGAGTGTGCGGCCTGTGGTGCACTCACGCTCACTGTTGGTGTCACAACCACTCTCTCTTTCCCAAGGTATTTCTATTGTCTCCATCTTCCACACCTCTAGTGTATCGCTGAACCATTCATAGCACATTTACAACTACCTTTAACATGCCTTTTCACACACATTTCAACCACATATAGTCCCACATTCATTCACATTACACGGTATAAATACCCACATTTATTCGCGTTACATTTAACGCACAGCAATCCCATACACACAACATTTTCAACATAAGCCACATTCATCAATTTATTTCATTATACACATTATTCAACATTCATTACACTATATTCTATTCAATCTTTCCACTACAATCTCACTACAATCAATCAGTTCCATTAAACACTCGCATTCAAAATCATCCACATTACAATACATAGCCAAACAACGGATTTAAAGACATGAGAGATAGGGTAGAGTCCCCTTACCTCAAATAGAAGACCCACACATGAATTAACAATGGAAAAGACTCCTCACTCGAACTTCATCCTAATTACATGGAAGAATCCCATGAGAACCAAGGAAAACCGAGAAAATAGAGAATGGGGTCAAAAAACCAAAAGCCTAGCCAGGAAAACTTACCTCTAAACGCCCCAAACGTGAATCCAACCATCAATCTTACTCTCAAATGGCTATGGAGACAATTTAATCGGTGAAATAGGATTTGAGATTGAGAGAATCGTGAAGGGAGGGAAGGAGAGATGTAAAATAATTCATTCTTTCAAACCCTAACCCCTCAAGTACCCCTCTGGTCGCACCTCGCTGCAACGACACCCTCTCTTGCTACAGTGAAAATCTCAGAGAAAATTGCACTCTGGTTTCTGCATAATCTTGCTACAGCGAGATCCTCTCGCTACAGCGAGACTGCATCCAGAAATGCACCCCTCACTGCCGCTTTCTCGCTGCAGCGAGGGACCTCTCGCTACAGCGAAAACACCCTATACCATATTTCAAACAGTCCAATATGATAAATCTTGATCTACAATCAGCATTCACATGTATCATACACACACATATACATCACCATTCATTATTCATCACTATCACATTCACATCAACTCATCACGCACTCAAGTGCACATTCCAACATACATTCATATATATATATATATATATATATATATATATATATATATATATATATATAATATTATAAAATTCAGAGTGTTACATTTATCAATTCTCTATTTAAACAATGGAATGAGCATCTAATACAACTTTAGTTTCAGGAAGCTTCATCTAAAAATAATTAAAAATCTTACTATACAATGGTTTAATATTTTATCTTATCATTCAATCGTAAATTATAGTTATTATTACAAATTATTAATTTTTATAATAACTACTTTAAATATTATTACCAAGATTATTTTTAATTGATTGTCAACATAAATTTACGTTGATTTCTTATTAAAATTTAAAAATTTATAAGAATTTTTTAAAAATTGCAAGTAGCATTTTTTTTGTACTTAATTCTTTTTCATTTTTTAAAAAATTGCCATTTGACGAATTTTGAATCCCATATTTTCATAATTCATTTGAAAAACTATATTTTGGCTTATATGTTTTTCAAATCTTATATATAAGAAATTAATCCGATTCTCGTTTTTTTTTTAATTTAATATAGTAATAATATTATGTTAAATTTTTTAATAAAAAGTATTATTTATTAATTTCTTAGCACAAGTTTATTCTAACTTGTCGGTGAAGGGTGCTATTTATCATATGTGTGTGTGATTTTAGTAGCTCAAGACAAAAGAGCAAATAAAATTGTGCAGAAAGCTTAGCCCTAAAGCAAGAAAACAAAAAGAAGCTATGTTTTATTACAACGGAAATTGGCTTTTCTTAAACCAAGCACCAAAATTAATACACGCTTGATTTGCATACCAACTAGGAAAAAACAAGACCCTCTAACAGCAAAGAAACAATACTCCTCTAAGATATGTACAAGAATTATAGATGTAAGTGAATGTCATATGACAAAATTATGAGTCGATCATGGTTGTAAAGAGTGATCATTGATCCTTAGTAGAGTTTTATAGGTAGAGTTATTAATATAAAAAAAATGTACTTATAATTTTAAATATTTGTTTAAATCTTGAATAAATATGGAATATTTTCATTATGAAGTTATGATGTTACAGCTAGAATCTCAAACTTTGTTGGTATAGTTATGTTTTATTTAAAAAGTAGCACTAATTAAATAAAAATTCAAATACATGTTATAAAAATTATTAAAAATATTAAATTTTATAATAAATCATACCTTATTTAAATTACATTTCACAAGTCAATTTTTTATTTTTTTTAAATACAAATGCATTTTAAAAATAATACAAAGAGATAAATAGAAAATAATATAACTATAATATGTTTGCAATTTTGGTTTAATTGAGTTTTTTTTTAATGTTAAAAAACTGAACTAAATTGTATAAGAAAATACGTATCACATTGCAAAAATTTAATTATTGCGACTCTTATTTCTTTTATGAATTTAATAAGAATGCGTATCACGTTGTATAAATTTGTTTACAATTATCTAATCATAAATTATCATGTGATTAATAATTATTAATTTTATGAGGATTATTTTAATAATCATACTTAAGATGATGACTGTGATTTAATTGTGAACGTAAATTTACACGGGCGTCAAAATTATTTTATTATTATTATTTTGTCAGTCCTTGGAAGGACTTTCGAATCAATTAAGGAATCCGAAAAATTGAATGGATGCTTTAGAAAAACAAATGAAAAGCAAGAAATTAAAAACAGAAAGAAGTTGTTTTATTACATCTGAAATTGGGCTTTTCTTAAACAAAGCACTGAAAAGAAGATTAAGGAAGAGCCTCTAAAAATAAAAACAAAGAAGAATATATATTTATTCTTTCCTTCCATTGGAATTGGAGGAGTAGCTAGACACGTTGACAAATGAACCATGAACCATGATCATGATCTCTAGTTTTTCTTGTCCATTCCAAGTGTGTGCTTCACACTCTCCACAGCACCTTGAGCCATGTTCTTCACTTGCTCCCCAGTCTACAAAATCACCATTAAATGTTACATTTGTTTATATAATCAAGTAACTGTTTAGAACTTTTCATTCAGTCAAAATTTTGTAAAGAAAAAATTGTCCCAAAATAGTGATATAATATTGAGAAATGAATTAGCAACCTGTTGGAGAAAACCAGCAGCTTCATCCTTGTTTTGTTGAGCTGTTTGTCCTGTCGTGTTAGCAGCTGCATGAGCCTTGTCTGCTGCTGCCGCGGCTGAATCCTTTGCAGATTGCATCATATTTTCTGCGTTGGCCTAATCAATCATAATATAAGATTATTGATTAACATATATTTCTTCAATTTTGGAAGATCATAGAAAGTGTAAATGTGTTCTTCATCACCTGAGTTTGGCCTGCATTGAAGTTTTGTTGGGCACTAGACATGTTGGTAGGATTTGAAAAGATGAGTTACAAGTACAATTGGTGTTAATTGGTGGGTCTTATTGATCTTGTTCATAGGGTATATATATAGTGTTTTGGTATGCTCCCAAATGTGAGAGATGCTTCGAAATAGGATCACTCCATTAACGATGGGCGCATATTTCTGCTTCTGAATTGGGTTCTCATTGAATATATGTGAGCCTCTACCTTGAGACAATCACGCATCTCCAAGTTTTATTATTATTGTTACTATCAGGCTTGATTTTAAATTAATACCTAAATTCGTGTCTTAGAAAAAAATTACATATCCTACCTGTCATATATTGATAAAATTCAAAATTATAATACCTCAATTGTTATATTAATAAAAGCTATTATAAAATAATCATTTTAAAAATCTTACGTATCCTATATTTTAATTAATTAATAATATAAAAAATTTTACGCTAAAAATATATCAAAATTAAAGTCTAATATTAACAAAATTGTAAGAATGGAGGTATGAAGAAAATGTGCATTATTTAATTATATGAAATTAGGGCATTAACTGATATGACGTGTAAGAAAAAAAAATATTACTAATGGCTATTTGTTTCTCCTTTTTAAATACAGTTTTCAGTTTTTAAAATTAAAAAACTTAAAAATTTGTTTGTTAATTCAAGTTTTAAAAATTATTTTTAAAAGTAATTTTAATTTTAATTTTTATAACTAAAATCTAGAATAACTCTAAGGTGTTTTTATTTTTAATTTCTGATTTCTCTCTTTAAAAGTTTGAAAATGCAAAAAATTTAATTTTCATTAATGGTACTTCTGTAAATTAAGTAAAAAAGGAAAATAAATATTGGGTTAGGGCTCACAACATCAACATCCCTGTGACTCTTAAACTATTGACATCATTAGAAAACTGTTGACATCCTCATTACTCTTAAATTATTGATATCCTTACATTATCAAGTATCTCATGAGAATGGTAAAAGAAAGACAAATCATGAAATAAATTTGATAAATACTCAAGGTTTTTTTTTTTTTTACTTTTCTATCTTAGATTTCTTTTTCACCATTGTGATTTGGATATAGATTTAAATTTGTACTTAAATTCTTACTTGTTGCTGATTTAAAATTTTTGTTATCTTTAATTTCTATTTCAAAAGTTAGATTAGGTCCCCTTTATTTGTTAAGACCAGCCTATGCCATTTTCTAAAAGAAAACTTGTTCTTAGCTTTGTAAGACAAGATTAGAACAATAACTAAAAACAAGATAAAAATTTGGTATTCACAATCTTACGTAAACCATACTCAAATAACACAATAAATAGTATTGTGTTGCTTGATATTATCTATAATTTATTTTTAGTTAGACATAAAATTTCACTAGAGATATATAAACTAAGCTCATACAAGATATTTGTCACTTCATATTAGAAAAATAAATATTAAGAATTAATAAAAATAAGACAAAAAAAATTGAGTACATGTTTGTAAGTAAGAATCTTAATCTAAATTTAAATCAACAATGGTGAAAAAGAAATTTAAGATAAGTAAAAGAATAGATTTGAGTGCTTATCAAATTAATGACTTTGTTCTTCTTTTACCATTTTTATGACATATTTGATGGTATTAGGAGAGTGTCGATGATTTAAGAGTCGTGTTGATAGTTTAAGAGCTGTGAGAGTGTTAACGGAGTTGTAAAATTGTAGATAATTTGATGGTGTTGTGCCCTCCCAACATTTATTTGCCTTTTTTATTTAATTTAATGAAAACGAAATTCTCCACATCTTCAAAGTTTTGGGGAAAGACATAAAAATTAAAAATAAAAACACCTTAAGAGTTATTTTAGATTTTAGCTTTAAAACTAAAAATAAAAAATTAATTTTAGAAATAGTTTTTAAAACTTAAATTAACAAAAAAAAATTTAATTTTAAATTTTAAAAATTGAAAATTATATTTAAAAAGGGGAAACGAACAGCACCTAACTATACACAAAACCAAGTAATTATTTTTTTCTCTTCAATTTCAATGCGCATATTTAGTTTAACTTCTACGTATATGAATCTGTCCTACACATAATGTTTATTTGGCAAAGCATTTATTGAAATACATACACACTATCCATACCCATCATAACATGCTAACAAGTCCATCTCAGCAAAAATAAAACTTTTTGATCTCAAAACAAGAGTACAAATGTATAAATAAAAAGTAATTTGAATAAAAGGACCTTTCCATTGTCGACGTTGTCATTGGCAATCATTCTAAACTTTGTCTCTTCCTTTTGTTTATTTATTCTATTTTAGCTAATAAAAACTTTGCTTTTTAATAAATGGACCTTTTAACGTAGAAATGTGAGTATGTGCTGCATTATTGGGCCGTTCTTAGACCATTAGTGGCTTCCCAATTTTAATGGAGACATGGAATATAAGGAGCAAGTTCAAACTTTGTTACATGCAAAAATCTCAATTCTATCCCCTTTTTCAACCCTTGCTCCCCTCCCCTTCACTAAAAGTTAAAATTAAAAAAATCTTGCTACGTGACCTAAAATAATTCTTGTTATAAAAATAAAAAACAAAATGAACGTGTAGCTATAAGTTATTTTTAGAATATGCTTTCTAATTTTAGAATTTAGTTTAATATTTTATGTTTATTTAATTTTGTCGTTTAATTATTAAATTATATATATATATATATATATATATATATACACTTTAAAGTAAAATATTTGTGCATTAGAGGACCTACTAAACTAGTTGCCTTTCACTCAAGTCCAAATCTTATATAATCAATAAAACATTAGTATATGAAATATGTAATATATTCTTGATTATTACTCTTTCATATCAAATCGATACAGACAAATATTTAGTATGTATAAAATTGGAAAAATAATATATTTTCTATTATTTTAGCTTATATATTTTTTACTCACAAAAAAAATTATATGTTTTTGAGAAAATAACAAACAGCTTTTATCTTTTAAGTATAATTCTCTTTAAATATTTTCTATTATTATTATTGCTACATAGTTGATAATAATATATTATTTGACCTATATTTTGGTATTGAATTCTCTCTTTTACGAGATGGTGGGTATTGATTTCTGATCATGAAGAGTCAGATTTACTGTGATTTTTATTCGTTTGAGCTTTTATTTGAAACATGTCTCTATTATTTTTATTTGAAATATATTTTTTCTTCCATCATAATAATAAAGGTTTTGTTAAGTATGTTTTTCTTTTTTATTTTCTTGAGTAAGTATTAATTTTTTCTCTTTGTATATGGGTTTTGAATTCTCCTTAAACTCTTTATAATAATATATGTTTTGCCTATAAAAAAAATAAGAGTTTTGTTAACATCAGTCCTTAAGACTGATGATAAGCAGCTAATAATAATAAAATTTTATTAAAAAAAACATTTATTATATTTTTATAACTTTAATACAATAATTATATATTTTTTTTATAAAATATTTTTATTTGTGGATACTTAAACTCAGTCCTAAGGACAGATTAACAAAACCCATAATAATAATGTCTTAAAAACATGTTTAACAAAATTATCATATAAGTTAGTTTAAAATTAAAAGGTAATAATTAGTAAAACTGACAAATATAAAATAACAAATAAAGTCATCATTGTTAAAGATATTAAAATTTTAAATTTAGTATTATATTCTTAAATATAAATTTTTAATTTTAGTTTATTTAAAATTAATTATCATCTTTAAATTAAGATAATAATTTTTCAATTTTACTTTCATTTAAAAATATTTGATTATAAAAAATAAGATTTAATGAATTTATTAATTTTTTTCAAAATATTACCAGTTAATTATTTTCTAAAATAATGAATGTAGTGATATTTTTTTTATTATTTGTGATTTTTTTCTTTTAGAAATATTAAAATAAATAATTATTTGGATTTAAAAATTTAAACAAATAAAAAGAAATACTTAAAAATAATAAAAAGACAATAATAAAATTACTTTTTGATAATATCTAAATATAAAAAATATAAATATAAATACCACTTGCGACATCCTTAATAAAATTTTCATAGTTTATCTTTATTTATATTATTTTGAAGGAAATTTAATGGAACTTGTTAAAGACTTGGAGAGTTAGAACATTATATAAATATATAACTATAGGCTAATAATATCAGCAAAATTTTAAAAGAAACTTTATCCGTAAAATTTAATTTATAACAAAGTAAAAATATGTTTCGTAACTCAATTTTATTGATAAAATTAAACTAAAATTTCACATTATATTTTGATATACATATTTTGAATTTACAGTACAAACAAAGTATTTTTCAATAAAACAAATTTCTGACTAAAATTGAATATAAAATAAAAATTCAAACATTTAATCAATAAATATTATATATAAAACTTGAACCATCGTTACAATAAGATTCATTGAAATGTAATAAGTTTTAAATAAAAACTAAATTAATTTAATTACATTTCTTAAAATAACTAATCCTAACAGAGTAGTTCTTTTCCTTATAGTCCCGTGTGAGTATAATGCTAGAACGGATCCATCTTCTTTAAAAAAAAATTGTGATTTGAAAGTGTTCGTAACTTGTAAGGGGTGAACTTTCTTGCCCAATAAATTCTTATTTTAATAATAAAATTTTAGTAATACAAAAAATATTTTTTAATACATTATGCGTCAAATATGAATTTATTTACAAAATTATTCTAATCAAACGGGGAATATTCACACATATTATTCATTACTTACTTAAATAAAATCTATTTCTCCTCAATCAATATGATCATTCAATTTCTCAACTCAAGTTACTTTAATTATTTCAACTCTGATGTATTCATCAAACAAGAGTCCTCTAAGTACTCATGGGCCTCTACATTGCTGCCAATATACTCTTCCTAGTTATGATGGACTTACGCTAGCATGGATAGTCGACGTTTACCGCCGCACACGGATAAAACGTGTGCTTTATTAGGCATTCATAACAAAGCTATAGTCAAGAGAATCAGTCAACAAATGAGTATGAGGCCTATGAATGCTCCATATTTTTCCAAATTGCCTCTGGACTCTATACCCCTAGT